AATGTCTTATCAGTTGTTGAGTTCCCCAGATGTGACAGTAGGAGAAGAAGAGGCTTCATGAGAAAGGTGCTTTCAGAAGCGCCACCATAACTGCTACAATACCTTGCTCAAATCTTAAGGACTGGCACTAATGTGAACTTTCTCTTCGTATTAGACATGTTCCCAGTTTCCATGAAGAGATAAAACAGCTGTCAATAACAGTGATGCTTTCTTGCCCAAGGCACTTCCATGTTTATGCTGGAATCCACTTAACATATCTCATCTTACATATATAGGATATATTTAATCTGGCATATTATAGAGAATAGCTACAAAAGCAATGAAAAAGAGAGGGTGGAAATAAAACTCCCATTCTCACATTATCAAATTGTGTGTAAAAAAAATATTGTTGCATCTTCTCTATTAATTCAGAATAGTGTGTGTGTGTGTGTGTGTGTGTGTGTGCGCGCATTCTAATAGTTAGCAGCAGACTGTCTCCTTTCTACATTACAATATATGCCAGAATGTGCTCAGCTGGAATCTTCTACTTTAAAACCTCCAAAGTATTATGAAATTTATGGCATAAAATGCAAACAATTCAGAATAGATGTGCTTGCCCTCTTTTCTCAGGAGGATCTTATGTATTTAGGAGCTACACAGTCCCTGATATGTTGAAGTATTTCAAAGTGGCTTTTAAATGTTAAATATACATGAATATTCACTAGTGCTGCTAAGATACAAGATTTCCGTGTACCAGAATAAGACATTTGTTAGAGATGCATGCCATTTTTAACCTCTGAGTTCTTGAAAAACTGTGTATGTGTATTAATTTGTGTGAATGTATAAATGTATGCAGTGCAGCAGTAAAGGAAAGGAACCAGAAAAGATAAGACTCAAAACTGGTAAGAAAGAATTGCACCCATGTCTAAATTAGCTTGTATTGTTATCACATTTAAAGGGCTTGGGTGGGGAAACTGATTGGAATCACACTAATATGACCAATTGGACCCAACACGGATAGACAACACAAGGGCTCCCATATTACATGGACTGGCAGAGAGAAGACAGGGTCCTTCTTTCCAGCCTAATAAAGGCATTCATTAAGAAGAGTCATGGGAAAAACTTGAAACTCCCTAGACAACTGCATACACTTTCTAGCAATATTATAATTGGATATTTATTGTGTAATAGTGCGGTAGAGGTAGAAGTTTGTTTTTTCCCCTTTAAGCTGGCCTTCCATCCATTTCAATGCTTTGTTCAAAACCTTGCTAAAGGGCCTGAGACCTCAAACAGAACTATTAACACACCATAAAATGTCCCCTTTTTGTGGCATGATAATTTATATCTTCTTGCCTTACTCAAGAGGCAGACAGCCACTTGAAATGCATCACCATAGGAAACACTATGTACATGAAATAACTCCACATGTGGTTATGACAATTTTCAAAACACTATCACAAACCCAAGAAAGAAGAATTTATACCCATATATTTTTCTGCAGATGCTTTGCGAAAACCACCAGACAGGACCTGGGGAGCCTGCTAATGAGATCTGGGAAGTGTTATGATTCCCAGGTAACATCCACATGAGTAGGCATTCATGAGATTGCTCCAGGAAGTAAATCCATGAACACAAAATAGTATTCCTTTTAATATCCCACCTTTTCCTCTTGGCTTTCTTGGGTGGATGAAGTTCTCAGATGGTCTCCCACCCAGGGAGTGACCAAGACCATGCCACGTTAGGTTCAGTGAGAGTAACCTACCTCCTAGACCGGGGTGGACAACCTCTGGTTCATGGGTCAAATTTGACCCACAAAGACATTTTCCTCAACTTTGTCAGTCCTATACTCGGAGCTTGAGAAGCACTGTGCAAGGGACTTGGGCATGTGGACAGGAAAACACACCTGTCAATAATCTGGCACCAGGTGACTGACAGGTAGGTTGTCCCACGGGGTGGGCACCGGTGACAATCTGATCCATTTGGCCAAAAAGGTTCCCAACCACTGAGCCTATTATGTCTCAGCTGACACCTCAGTGGTACTGTTCCCTTGAAACTGGATAGGCAAAACCCCTAGTATCTTCTCAACATTTTCTCTCTCCCCTTCTCTAATAGAGACCTATACAGTGGTACCTCGGGTTAAGAACTTAATTCGTTCTGGAGGTCCATTCTTAACCTGAAACTGTTCTTAACCTGAGGTACCACTTTAGCTAATGGGGCCTCCCGCTGCTGCCGCCGTGTGATTTCTGTTTTCATCCTGAAGCAAATTTCTTAACTGGAGGTACTATTTCTGGGTTAGCGGAGTCTGTAACCTGAAGCGTTTGTAACGTGAAGCGTCTGTAACCCGAGGTACTACTGTATAGCATAAGCTGTGGTTCAGCTCTTGATTTGCACTTATTCAATTGACCAAAGGCAAACAACCGGGGATATTGAGACAAGAATACCTACTATGCTCACCGGCAAAATTCCCTAGGCTATCACAGAACTGCATTTTAAATCTCCTAAGCTTATTTCCAACTCAGTTAAATAAATCAGGCTTTCTTATCTAATTTCCTAAGATAATAAGAATGGACAGAGTGTTTAATGTATAATTTAACTTTGCTGCAGACACTGCTTATACCAAATTCATCTTCCTTACCTGTCTGAATTCTAAAGCCTATTTCTGTAATCCTGTTCTGCACTATGAAGAATGGAATCTAATTTCAAAGAATATTTATATGCTTTCAAAATGCCAGACATTTAAAACCCAGAGACGCTACCCAGCTCTGGGGGAAGAAAATGTAGCCCCTCTATCAACTATGCACTGTTTCCCCTTGCCATTACATTATTAGTCATGTATCCATTGATGACTCTTTATGTAGAATAAATCTAGCGTTAAAATAAATAATCAGAATGGCATCCATAACACTTTCTCAAAATTCAAAATTTACCCACTGGTCCAAAAAGTGGGCAACCCGTCTTAGCTTGTATGCTGTACTTGATGCAGATGTGGTGAGTGTGTGTGTGTGTGTGTGTGTGTGTGTTAGGGTTGCCATATTTTGAAGAGCAAAAAAGAGGACGCATTTGCCAACTTCTACTTTTAACTATGGATTGCTGTGAAAACTCTCATTTTACACATCCATGAAAAAGAGGATGTGTCCTGGAAAAAGAAGGCATATGGCAACCCTAGTTTTGTGTGTCTATATGTATACGTATATGTTTCTACACCCCCCAAAAAGTGATTTACACTGGGTTGTAATCAATGTAGCACAAGGATTTCTCTTTGTACAATGGAGTGTTCTCCATCCCATCCCCATGCTCCCCCTAAATACTTGGGGTTCCCTCAACTATTCCAAGTAAATTTGGGGATGCTGCAGGGAGACAAGAAGGGAGGAAGTCCTTGTGCTTGAGCAGTTACTTAGCTGCATATTACCCAATGTAAGCTATTTGCAAGACATAATGCCTCATAGTATACGAGCTATGACATGTACCAATGTGCTCTCATTGTTCCACTTTTGCATTTATATAACCCAGATGTACTGAAATCAGTGATTTGTTACTGACTTCACTGACAGTAACAGCAATCCTGGATTACTCCCTACGTTATTTGAAATCCAAACTCTGAACATTCAGTCAATGGGCTGGAATATTATTGTAGGGTTGGGGTCAACTCAATTTAAGTTATTGGAGAGGCTCTCAAAGAAACAAAATGGTTTTTGGACAAGTTAAAGCATTCTTTAGGACATCTGTCCATGTACCAGGCATGGGGAAAAATCAAGGTATGCACAAACAGCAATATTATTAATATTTATGTGCTTTCATCTATCATTATAGACATATCTAAATAATGCCAACTTCTGAAAATACTAAATATTCTAACTTCAAGGAAATAGCAGCAGATTTGCATTCCTGAACATCTTCTTTCTTTTCATAAGATGTTATTAAAGCTTTTTCATAATGAAATAGAACAAAATAGAACAAAAAAAAAACTAGAGAAAGAAAGAGAAAACACAGAGGCCTCTCTCAAAGGTAACTCTGAGAGTAACTCTTTATCTTTGTCACCCACAGAAAGTGTTGGACCCTCCCAGGTCTCACCTGTGAACTTTCTTTTCTTCTCCCTGTCTCGGTAACTTACAAATAACAGTAAACTACATAATGCATCATATGAAAAGTAGTAGTAGTAGTAGTAGTAGCAGTTATTTTGTTGTTGTTGTTATAAAATAAATTTAATTATTATGACATTTATTATAAAAGTGCTTCTCTAAGTTACTGTGGAGTATCTTAGAACTCTCTTACCAAACAAAGTGACCCACTGGGGTATAAGAGATGAGGCAGTCTCTCAAGAAACCTGGTTCCAAACTGCATGGGACCTTCTGTGTTAGTAAGGTAAAGTTAAAGGGACCCCAGACCATTAGGTCCAGTCGTGACCGACTCTGGGGTTGCAGCACTCATCTCGCTTTATTGGCCGAGGGAGCCGGCGTACAGCTTCCAGGTCATGTGGCCAGCATGACTAAGCCACTTCTGGCAAACCAGAGCAGCGCATGGAAACGCCATTTACCTTCCCGCCAGAGCGGTACCTATTTATCTACTTGCACTTTGACGTGTTTTCAAACTGTTTGGTGGGCAGGAGCTGGGACAGAGCAACGGGAGCTCACCCCATCACAGGGATTCGAACCGCCGACCTTCTGATCGGCAAGTCCTAGGCTCTGTGGTTTAACCCACAGCGCTACCAGCATCCCTTCTGTGTTAGTACCAAACCTTAAATTTTGCCCTGTCTCAGTGGCAGCCAGTGCAAAATGCACAAGCAAGGTGTTATTTGCTGGCAGCGGTTTGCTCCAGCAGGCAACCTGGCCACCACATTCCGCACTAGCTGCTGCCTCCGAACTAACCTCAAGGGTGGTCCCACACAGAATACAAGCCAAGTTAGAAGAGTATTGGAGAATGCCAATATTAACCAAGGTCCTTGCCTAAAAGTAATTAATGATATTATGGTAATAATCTTGTTTGAGCAATGGCATATACTGACTACTAGGTTCTGTACCTACCTCTGCTATTCTTAGAGCCTCCAGGACATGGCTGTCCTTTTCAATGTTCTTTTGTTTCTGTAAAGATCTCCATACAGCATTCCTTAATCCTTCTCGAGTCACATCCCCAGCGAGTTCACTACGCAGAACAACTAGATTGTAGACCACACCATAACGAATAACCCAGAATGGATCGTGACCTGCAAAAAATATTTCAGTGTCCCATGAGCATTCTACGCCTCTGCTAAAAGAACATAAGGAATGCTTTGCTGGATCACAACCAGATCTATGTAGTCTTTATCATTTATATATTTCCAAATAGCAAGCAGCTAATGCCTCTGAAAGCTCGGGCCTGATTCAAACAAGGCGAGGCGCACTTTTCATGGCACAATGACTGAAATGAAATGACTGATGTTTTAATGTATTTAATATTGGAAGCCGCTCAGAGTGGCTGGGGAAACCCAGCCAGATGGGCAGGGTAGAAATAATAAATTATTAGTAGTAGTAGTAGTAGTACACCCACAGGGTAGTCCATCAATGACGTTAAATTGTCGTCTGTACCACATCCCCAAATTCCAGCCAGTTACCACTTACCATTTTGATTTGGGGTTGAAAGCAATACATAAAATGCCCCCAGAAATGCCTTTGTGGTATACTACTGAACCCAACCAATGTTAGCGGATTGCGGTAGTAAAAAAATCCATAGATTTCTCACAAACAAATGGTAAAGGAACGTAAAGGAAGTGTGAGTAGGTTGGCACAAGCCATGTAATGTTTTGGAACATTTTTAGAATTATGGACACTGTTCTTACAAGCTTTTTGATGGGGTAAGAAAAACATCCCAAAAACCATTAACGTTAGTTTTTAGTTGTATGATTTAAAGTTAATGGGGGGGGGGAGAGATAGCAGCTTTCCCCCAATATTTACTTCTACAAGATTTTAACAGGATTCTTACTTTTAAATATAATTTTACTGTTTCTCATTGAAAATAAAAACCATAGCTTATTATTACTGTTATCACCACCACCACCACCAAAACCACCATCAATATGCAGAACCAAAGGTTTACTGAACAGGGAAAAAAATACTATGTCCTCTGAATAAGTTATTTTGATTCTGTGTGATTGGGTTTTCTCAAACACACTTCATGTGACACCACAGAAAAACAAGAAAAGTGACACACTTGAGTGGCACACCTGACACATGTCCACTGCGAGAAGCATTGCTGGACTGAAGTATTCTACTCAGTTCTTAACCTGAGGTACCATTTTAGCTAATGGGGCCTCCCGCTGCTGCTGCGCTGCCGCCGCAACAATTTCTGTTCTCATCCTGAGGTAAAGTTCTTAACCCGAGGTACTACTTCCAGGTTAAGCGGAGTCTGTAACCAAAGTGTTTGTAACCTGAGGTGTTTTTAACCCAAGGTACCACTGTACCCGAAATCAAGCCACTGAGGTGGTTGCTTCACACTGTCAAATGGTAGAGCCAGCCCTGGATACAGAGAACAGAGGCTAATTGAATTCATGCTGCCAGGTGTTTAATTCTGAAACATAATAATAAAATCTTTCAGTTCATGGATTTTGTTTGCTGAAGGTGGCACGAAGGAATTGTCAAAAGATAAATAAGTAGCTGAAGGAGAAAGAAGATTAGGAGGATATCAAAAGAAGCTGCCTTGGCTTATTTTTTCATGAAAAGATGCTTGTACACAATATTTATGTTTATGCAGCTATTATATTAGGTGTGAAGAATATGCTAAGCTTGTGAAAGTGGTTTGATCCCAGGCCTTCTCAGCATGCAATTGTTCCGTTTGTAGAGGAAAATATAGCTCTTCCCTTTCCAGCTGAAAACAGAAATGCTAGAAACACACACACACACACACACACACACACAAATGTAACAATATTTGAAGTGTCAAAAAGATGAGAGCATGTTAAATGACTGTGCTCATCCTTAAAATATTTTCTCCTCCTGCCTTACATCATGTTACCTTGTCATTAGCAGTATTCCCGACATGCCCTCCTAATTAGAACAGGGAATATAACAAATGTTGAGGAAACATCAGTCATCTCTTTAGAGGCCTGCTACTCTAATGTGCAGACTGTCTCCAGAAATGGAGCTCCACATCTTTCACTCTTATGAATGTCAACGGCAATTTAAAGCATGCCCCTTCGCTAAGAGGAAGTTCTCCTCACCATACTGAATCAGGCGGTTAGATACATTCTAAAATGTATATAGACAACGCCGGTTGCAAGCCTGCCTGGAAGTAAGCAGCTAAATTCAGAGAATCGTAGAGCTGCGAGGGACCCTGAGGATTATGTAGTCCAATCCCTGGAAATGCAGGAATATGCAGCTGTCCCATACAGGGATTGAACCTGAAAACTTGGTGCAATTCAATGTGGATTACTTCTGCACAGACATGTATAGGGTTGCCCTGCACTCAGTTGAGGTTGTACAAAAGAAATATAGAGGATTGTGGCATTTTGGTTTTGCTTCTTTTGGTAGAGCATCTACACCCAGAAGATACAGAAAGCATAATAACCGCTTCCAGTAGCACCTTAGAGACCAACTAAGTTTGTTATTGGTATGAGCTTTCGTGTGCTAGCACACTTCTTCAGATACACACAAAAGCTCATACCAATAACAAACTTAGTTGGTCTCTAAGGTGCTACTGGAAGGAATTTTTTAATTTATTTTGTTTTGTTTTGTTTCGACTACGGCAGACCAACACGGCTACCTACCTGTAATAATAACCACTGTATGCAACAAATATGTACCACATATTTGTCATTACCATATTTGTCATATGGGCCCTGCTATCACTTTAAAAATGCCTTCTCCTGATAGTGCTGTTGGTTATGACTGAATAGTAATAACCCATCTTTGGAAATCCTATCCACAGATACAAAGAATATTTCAGTAAAATAACACCAATCTAGAACCATTAATCTAGAACCACAGCGTTCCGTGTGCTGCGCTGGCTCGCCAGATGCAGCTTGTCACGCTGGCCACATGACCCGGAAGTGTCTGCAGACAGCGCTGGCTCCCGGCCTATAGAGTGAGATGAGCGCACAACCCCAGAGTCTGTCAAGACTGGCCCATACGGGCAGGGGTACCTTTACCTTTACCTTTAGAACCATTAAAAAATGGCAACCTTTTGTTTGCATTATAAATATGATAAATGAAAAATTGCACAGTCTGAAATTCCTAGCTACTAGGCTGCAGTGGCTGCAATCCAGTTGTTCTGATGTACATGCAATACTCAGGTGCATACAGGGAATTCTCTTCTCACAGGAAGTGAATGTCCTGCATGTCCAAATAAGCCCTACGCATGCATGCATGCAGCAAAACCCCTTCAAAGAAATGAAAAGGAAGTCTGCCTTTGTATGCAGCAATTGACTACTCCTTAAACACATCCTTCATGTAAATATATTTCAGCTAGCAGTACTCCAAAGGTGAAGGGGCTGCCCGGTCAACAGCTGATCAGGAGATATGAATTCTTGCTCGATCAAGCCAACAGTCCAAGGAGCAGAGTTTTGGCCCATTGATGCCCAAGGCAATATATGAGGCACTACCACTTCTGCCAAAAGTGGGATTTTATTGGGCCGCCATCTTTTTCTTTTTTTTTTAACAAGCCTTTTACTTCCATAGAACTCCCCCTTCAGGATTGTTGATCTTTTCATGAGGCATACTTGACCATAGCTTGAGGATGAGAATAAAGGCAGGACGGCAAACTGTGTTTAAAATAAGGACATAAATGAATCCATAGTCAGCCCAATGCCTACTGAGTCCGACCCACTATTTCCCAAATGGCCAACCAGATGACCAAGCAGAAGTGACTTGCCCAGTGAGTCAGAGCCACAACAATAGCATCACTGCAACTGCGGCTTTCCAGATCACATTGAGCCCATCTAGGGCTCTCACAAGTGTGTCCCAGCAGCTCTGCTCTCACAGCCTTGGCTCTCCCTGTAAGCTGGAGCAACTCTGCTGCTGGGGGACTATTGTGACTCTGCTCCAGTGGATAAGTCACTCCTGTGACCACAAGAAACCCAGAAACAAGGTGTGAAAACAATTGACAGCTGTTAATGTTCTCAAACAAAAAGCCCAAAGAATATTACTTTCAGCATTTTTTTCCATTTCTTACCCACTGTGAACACAATAGTTCCATTGTGAACCATGTGAGAGCCAATAAAACTTGCGGGGAAACTGCATTAATAACTTGCGCAATTTACATGTGAATCTTTAGACATTAAATACATTAGCTGGCTGCCTCAGAAATGAATGAAGCCTGTGTGTTACATTAAAAAGTCACTGGTCATGATCACCACAGACTCATCTTCCATAGCAGGAGTTCTCAGTAATGGTTCTCTCAATTATCTTTCAGGGATGAAAATCCTGAGAAAGCTTGAAAGGAACAGGTATCTTTTCTTATAGGAAAAGATTGTAGGTCATACCCAAAGATGTCAAGGCTGCAATTCTAAGCTACTACTAGGGAGTAAGTCCAGTTAGAATCTATGGGATTTGCTTCCTAGTAAACTTGCTCTGTGGCTGCAACGGTGTGTACACTTACTTAGGAGTAAGCCTAATTGAATGCAATGTGAATTACTTCCAAGTAAACGTGCACAGAATCAAAATGTAAGGCTTCCATTATATAAAATGCATATAATGCGTAATTACTTGAAGACATCTTGAACTCAGTGGGACTGAGTGAAAATGGATAGGTTTAAGCTATACAGCAGCTTACTTTCCTGAAAATCTTCACTCAACTTGTTCGCAGATCACAGCCCTAATAGGGAACTATTAAGAGATGGCATTTAATCAGTCTTTTGGCTGAGGAGGTGATATTTTACTTTTAAGATAATATACAGAGAACAAGGAAGCACAGAAATACTGACAACCATAGGCAGATTAAAAAAAAACTGTGGAAGATTAATTAGACAAGAATGGATGAGTTCATGCTGAGCATATGAATGAGGAAATGGCGCCACACAGGCCTGGCAGGCAATCCAAATTACTTTCATCCAGACTGAATCTTGAAATGCTTTTGGACATTGTGATACAAGCATTGAAGTCCTAAAATTGCATCTAAAGAGTGAGTACAGCAAAATGATGAATCAAAGCAGAGGGAACCGTGTGTTTGTTTGGATACAGTTTTCACAGAAGTGAAGCCAAGATTGTCCAGGTTTCAGGTACAGAATTACATACC